GAGTATTTTGTGAATTATGTGAATTTATATGCTTATTATTTAATTATAAAGATATAATTAATAAAGAATAAAAATAAGCGTCAAAATTAAAGTGTGAGATAAGCCTGATATATTTACATAAAGTTGTAGAGTACGTTCCCACCTACGCGTGAATATATAGAACGTCGAAAACGGAGTTCGTATGCAAAAGATACGACAGTTTTAAGAAAATCAGACAGTAAAACACTGCTTTTTTTTAATCACGTAAAACCGAATCGATCCTTTGAGGTACTTATGATTTGCCGACGGGATTTCCGAGAGCGTTTTTGGACTCAGGATATGGTCTAGTATTTGATTTCATACTCGAAATATTTTTAACGAAAATATTTACAAAAGTTGCGAAAACGGACACCGCGTGTCGTTTAGACGCAAAACTTTAAGTGTGATTTCCCGGAGTTCCGTAACTCCAAAAATTAATCCGTTCGGGTTTTTGGAATCCTTGAATTACCCTCTTTCATAAGAAATTTTTGAAAACGCAATCCGATGTCGGGATCTCGATTCATCAATCTATGAGCGTTTTGGACAAGTTAAGTAATTAAACTACTTTGTGGGACCCACTAGGCTTATAGAACAACATGTCCAGCTCATTTCCATCTTTTTCCCACGTTTTTCTTTATTCTTTCTTTCTTCTCACCCTTCCTAGTTGTGTGCACTCTTACCCAAAGGTACCAAGTATGGAGGTGAAGCATGGCCATTCTAAGCTTGTGAGTATGCATGCTTACTATAAATAAGGAGCTTCTCATCCTTAATTGACACACCAAAAAAAATCTCACTTCATCTCTCTACCTTTCCCTCATCGTAATCAGCAAGAGAAACGAAGAAGAAAAGCAAGGCAGCCAACGTTGGCCACCTTGCTGCCTCACCAGAAAAATAGCTGCTGCCGCCGCGATACACCACCTCCAGCCACCCCGTTTGTTCCTAGGTACTCCCAAGTCAGTGCTTAACATTTTTCATTCTTTGTGTTTTCCATTTCGACGAACGGTTTGAGCTCCACAAATCCATTTGTGCATGTGTGTGATTTTTGCGTCCAATTTTGACGTGATCAGGGGGGTGATGCCTCCTCATCAAATTTAATGCACATATCTTGGCCAAACTTTGTTTCCAAATTAATTCTCCATACCCTATTTTGAAATTCTTAACATTTTTGGTCCTAATTTATTTAAACCTTCATTTATTTATTCACAAATGGTCCTTCCTTGGAAACCTCTTACAAATCAGATCCTAAACTCTAAACTATGATGTATATGTTCCATATTGGTCCCTCATTTGGAAATTATGTTTATAATTTAGTCCAACTAAGTTATTTAATTAACATAACGGACCCTATACCTTGGTTAATTACCAAACTACCCTCCAAATATTAATTATATTAATATTTCCTTAGGAAACTAAATTTTCTCGGAGATTCGTATTCACAGAAATACTACTCGACCTTCTCGCATCCATTCCAGAACACTAATCGTCTATCGAACGTTAAGGTGAGTGCATAGTTACTTTCATCTTACACATAGATATGAAGTATTTTATATAAATTACGTGCTACTTGTGCATATTATCTGTATACTTGCTATCTATGCTAGATGAACGATTTTATACATGTTTTAAATGATATAAACTGTATATGTATTTTATAACTACAAAATGTGTTGGGTAAAACATGGGTAGATGTAATAGTTGTTGTGTGAAAAAAAAATGAGAGGCCTCGTTATAGATGTTATTGATGATCCAGTCATCTAGCGGAGTATAGATGACGACCACAGACTATTCTAGACAGTCCAGTGGAACGCTAGCAGGCTCGCAACCTGTAGGTGTTTATTTGAAATGTGTGCTCACCAGCAGTACTCCATCCCCCACATGGTTGTCTTATTTGACATGAATTGCTGAGGAACCCCCAAAGCATGTGTTGTCACCCCGATGAAAGTCCTTAGACTAGATCCCTTGTGTTAGATGTTTTAGGGACGTAAAGTGAGGATAACGGGAAGGGGTAATCGGGTTGTTTGGTTGATGAAAATAATAAATTTATTTATTGTGGGTTGAAAACCCTATGTGCTCACCAGGCTCCCAAGCTTGACTCACTCAGTTTCTTGTATTACAGGTAGTGGCGTATGAGCATAGATGTTTGGATGAGAGATAAGGGATTATAGGCCTGTAAATACGAAATAATGTAGTAAGGCTTATGTTGTACTGTTTATGCTTTTGATCTGTATCGAACATGACATCCCGAGTCTTTGAATGAAATACATTTCTTTGGAAATGCTTTTGATAAATCTTTATCATATTTTGTTTTGGGACAAATTCCGCAACACTTTTATTTAAAATGTTACTCTGATTTTCAAACAAGCATAAACAAAAATCGTTTTTTTCTGGCCGTGAAAATGGGGATGTGACACTCACAACAACAACTCATCCTTTCTCTCAAAAAAAAATTTCGAGATCTTGGGCATTTTCAAGAAGGTTCTTCCATCAAAATCATCATCTTTGGTAAGTTGTTTCTTAAATCAATGGCTTAGCTTCTTGATAACTTCAAAAATCTCCTCTTAACTCATGCAAAATTCATGATCTTGCTTCTTAGAACCCATCTAAGCCAAAGACCTCTCAAGGAGCTTGTTAGGGCCAAACAATACAAACTATTTTTATATCAAACATGCTTATGAACTCACCAACATTATATATGTTGACCGTTTTCAAAATAACTTGTATTCTCAGGTAACCGTTAGAATGAAGAATCATCAAGCGTGTTTCTGAAAATTTCTTTTGTGCAATGTCAGTCGTTAAACAATTTATGTTACGTGATGTTGTAATGTAAACAATGTACTTGATGTGATCAAGGTCAGTTGTAATGTATTAATGCATGGTGATGTTTATGTTATGTTTCATGTATATTCATTGTGATGCTATTTCAATTTAAGTCACACGAGCCCTCAGACGTTTCCGCCGTCTGGTTCGGGGGTGTGACACATGATCTACGCTTTCTTGCATGTTCCTTGTTTGGTTGTGGCTCTAGAGTAGGATCACCTGTTCGGGTGTCTATCTCACGTCTGAGTATATACGGTTGTCCATCCCTTGGATTTTTGGTATTTAGTATGTTGCTAAGTTGTAGTGACCTGATAGATCTATATTTTGGTATTTGGTATGTTGCTATGCTGTAGTGATCTATTATATCTGTATGTTATCTGTACTTGCTGGTTATCATCTGGTGGAGTGCCCTAGGGACTGTCCGTGGTCATGTAGGATAGACTGAGAACTCTTGATCTAGGCTTTCTTGTATATTTCTTGTTTGGTTGTGGCTCTAGAGTAAGATCATCTATTCGGGTGGCTATCTTACCGCTAGTTACTTATGGTTACGTATTTCATGGAAGTTAGCCGGTAGTAGGAATGTATGTTGTGAGAGGACTAGTAGGCGGTAGTGGGTTGTATGATTGATGTTCGCATATATTATGTGTCTACTTGATCCTAGATTGTTTATATATCAACATATGCTAGTGGTGGGTTGAGACGGTCCTAATTTGTGTTGTAGTCCAAGATACCCGGTGCGGGCCGACTGTAAGTCGAAGGCACGGAGGCTCGGGAGGAGCGGTTGGGTTGAGGCGGTAGGCCAACAAACCCTGGTATTCCGACCTGGATAGACTGAAGGCCTGTTAGGCGGTCACGTCAGGCTGAATGCCCGAAGAGCGGCCATTATGCATACTTGTATGTTTATCGTATGGGGGAAGCTCACTAAGAATTGTGCTTACCCAGATGTTTATTGTTTCAGGTATCATTGGTCGTCATGGGAAGGTGAAGGCATGACTGTACACATTCATCAACAACAATGAAGATTTCGCGCTTTAATATTACTATGATGTTTATAAATGTATTTGGAATAAACGGTTTTCTCCATAACGGATTTATAATTGGGAAGATTTATTTAAATAAAATGAAAATTTTTGGTTATGAAAATAGGACATTACAATTTCAGATTGCATACATATCATATTTTCATATTATAGCATCACACAAAATCAATTAGTATATAAGCATACAATTTTCCTATACTTGTGCCTAAACAACCACAAGAATTGACTCACCTCTACTCCAAGTTGTGAGAGGTTATGAACTAAGGAAAGACACCTTCTAACAAGCAAAATAACACCCCTAAAATAATGAACAAGGAGCTAATAAAAAACAAAACATAAAATGAAAAGAGTTATGTTTAGACAGAATCCGTGTCGTGGCAAGGAGGGTGCCCTATCGTGGTCCCAACATCAGTCACGATCCAAGCCGATCAACTCTCGTCTTCACGGCGTGGCAACTAGCTGCCCACGTCGTGCGGTCGTTGGCAGTTACAAAAGAGAAAATCAATGAGTTGCCCTCTCCAGTCCGGTTAGAGTTCGATCAATGCCTCATTTGGGATGATCTTAACTTTTCAAGACCATATCTAAGTGTCTAGAACGACTAGGACATGAATAGGACCAACTAACACACTTAAACCAAGGATTTTGCATCATCCAAGGTTTCCTCTTGTGTGTGGTTTGAAGGACATCAAGATGAACTAATGAGAGATGTTCTTACCTCCTGGAAAATCCAGAAATGATCCCAAGAAGATTACTAGAAGAAATTCGACCAAAACACTCCAACAATCTTCTTTTTTCTCAAAAATCTTCACTCCAACCCACCACCAAAGGCAAGAACATTTGGAGACTCTCTCAATTAAGATAGAGGCTAAGAGTAGGGTTTTTGGCCGCAAATGGATGATGATTACCGAATTTAGGGTTTAGTAGTGTTTAATTACTTGGTAGTTTTCATATTAGGCCCTCAAAGTGTGAGAAAATGGCTATATGACCCATGTACATGATCAAGTAACCTTTTATTACACTTTAACCCCTAAAAGTTAGCTTTAACAATGACAAAAGTAACTTAATAAGAAAATATAATGTAACTAACCTCAATGGCAAAGTGGGAAAATTCGGGTCGTTACAAACATGGATGACGTTCATGAAGCTGTGGAAAAGCCTAGAGAAGAAGTTCATGATGTTGTGGAAGAACCTAGAGAAGAAATTCATGATGTTGTGGAAGAACCTATAGAAGAAGAAATTGAACGACAAGTGCCAGATGATATGCCTTGTATAGATGAAGGCATAGCCATCTTCATTGGTAATGGTGTTGAAACATATATATTTCAGTGAACATCTATGATCCTAGAAATTGGAACATCTAATGAGTAAAGACATGGTGTTGTGGTAGTGAATCTACGAGATATTTGTTAGCAACTTTGAATTCTGAATTAGTGGTAACAAATTTACTTAATAATATTTTACAAAAAATTATTATAGGGCATCACTTTGATTTTCGTACAAGGCCTCCAAAATATCTTGATCGAGCATATCTTTACCAAATACAACGTATCATATTAGCAAGGTTATATATACAATAAATAGTTTTAAAGTTATCTTAAGTTTTATAATCTTATTGATTTTTAAAATCAATTACAAAAATCTTTTTGGTATTAACTGTGGATATTTTTTATTTAAAATTTTAATGACTTATTTTTATTTTTTGTAATTGTCAACATTTACAAATTATAATTTTTTATTTTTAAGATGTGTTATTAATTATTTCTCTGGTTCATTCTTTATTTTGCTGTTTATAATTGTCAATCAATTTATTTTATAATAATAAAATAATTTAAATTTAGAAATCAGATACCTGAAACCAAAACCGGTACCGACAATTCTGAAAACAGTTTCAAAATAATAAGACTCGACGTAACCCATTCCAGGACAGGTTTCAACATTCTAGGAACTGTCAATGTGCTTATATATGGAAAATGGCAAAGAAACATAAATATAATCATAAATTTCAATATATTTTAATAACTTAATTGTACGGCTAAAATCGTAAATTCCAATGTATTTTAACCAGTTTTTCCGTCGATACAAGTCTGGCGTGCTCTTCTCCTAATCGATACAAGTCTTTTCAACCTGGGGAGTGGGGACCATCCCAAACCTATGTTTCTTGGTCGATTGGAATATGAGACATGATTTCTAAAACGTAATGAAACAAATAGATCGAGTGTTTCAAATCAAATTTGGCCTCGCTATGATTAATAAAAATATTTTATTTAGAACAAACCAACAAGTGGTTAAACAAATGAAGATTATCAATAATTATCACTTTTTTAGCAGAAGTAAATAAGATGGAAAAAGTTTTTTTTAGCGTAGGTAAATAAGATCATCATAATCGATCAATGACGGCAAAAGATGCTTTTTTCAAATTAAAAACAAGTGATGTATATTCTTGATTTTGTTTCTAGACAAGAGATTACTTGCGAGGCTAGGCAACTTTTAAAATATTCAATATAATTGATAATTGATGCGTGCTTCTAATTTTGTTGACAATTCTGTCGATATGTTTATAAATGTCGGGTTTTTTCTTTGTTGAAAAAAACTAGAAGCCTAACACAAATAAAATAAATTTTGACACACAATATGCACATATTAAAAATGTGCACAAGAACCATAACAAATACAATAAAAAGATAATTCACGAAGCACGTTCAATGTTTCATAAAAAGAGAATCTGGGTCATATAAAAAAATTGATTCAAGGTAACATCAAATCGCAAGATTGTTAGTAAGAGCGTAAGATCTTTCGGATCCTGAGTACCTAAGGTCATGAATATTATTTATATAATAAAAAGTTTAAATAAAATCATTAATAAAATAATATTTAGCTTTCATCTTTTTTATTAAGGTTTTATTTAGTAAAAAGAAACATTCTAAATTGATTTATTTCTTAATGAAACAAATAATGTAATTAATATTTAGGTACTTTTCATGGTTGCTCTTTTTTAAGTTAATGCGACACATGGAATGATTATACTTTACAATAGAGAAATGATATTGACATATCAAATAACATGTTAGGTTATATAGTTAGATTTATGGTTTTAGTTCTAAACTTATTTCACGTGGTTTAACTTTTTATGAATTTTGTTGCATGTTTTAATTCCTCAAAGTTAGAAATTTGGAAAGTTCAAATCTTTTTTTGTGAATGTAACTTTTTTGTAGTGTTTTATCAAACGCCTTTGTTAACTTACTTTAATTTCAATACATGCAAAAATAGTAATTGAACCAATTCCAAAATACATAATAGAGTTTTTGTCCACTACATACAGTACAATATTCAGTACATAAAGTACATTAAACTTACCAAATAAAGTGCATAGTACAAATTTGCCCCTTCAAAAAGCGATATTTGCACTTCATTACTCTAACGGGGGCATACACTCGTTAAAGAAAACAAACTACAAATATCATTTGTTTTGAAATGCAAATTCCATTTTCCAAAAGCTATTTAGTTTTATAACTTATAAACATACCTTATGCATTTACATATTTTCTCCCTGCAGTCTTTCTTTAATTAGTAATAATTACACTGCTTTGTTTTCGTTGAACATCCAGGACATGAGTGAAGATCTGATCTTTGAAAATAAAGGATTTGCAGATTCTGGGTATGTAACTGGATGAAGAGGGATGAGTTTATCATGAGGGGCACTGATCATGCGGTTTTCAAATGATGCAAGACACCTAAGACAAGCTTTTGGCAAACTCGGGCCTTTGTATGCTCTACATATGTTGTTTATAATGTAAATGTAATCCTTGAAACAAGAAATTAAAAAAGATGTTAATTAATAATTAATAAGCATTATTAGAGATTGAATTTTGAGAAGAGAGTTGAAGAAATTAACTAACATCGTAAAGTGGTTGTCCATCAACAACGACCCATGGGACGTATTTTTTTGGTGGTTGAAGAGAGTTTGTATCCACTGCGTATTGTAGTTCAAGCTGGAAGATGTAGATTTGATTAAAATTAGTTGGATTGTAACTTTTAGTGATCGAATTTATGTTTAGGGTAAAAAAGATCTGGATTAATGTGAATCAAGAAAAAAAAAAAAATTTTTTTTTTTTTTTTTGTTACCTGGTTCCCATATCCACTGTTGTAGCAGTCCTTCACTGGTTTTGGATCCAAACTTAGTTCTTCAAAGCATGATTCCCATTGATCTGCTTTGTCATGGTATAGGTATCTTTCCACACAAAAGACGAAAGGGAAGTGATCATGCTGCATATTTAGATTGATTACACGTATTAGAAAGAAAAAGAAAAAACGTTTTGGAATATAATTCAACTACAAGCTAAAATGGAACAGTAACTGAACAGATTTTCTCGGTTTTATCCATAAGTTAGTGATTATTTTCATGAATGATCTTAAGCCTCAATTACAATTTGGAAATAATACTGATGTATAACAACACAAGATGAGGTAGTGTAAGAGAGCATAGATCTTAATGTTTGGATTAGGGCACAAAACCAGTATAAATCTGAACCGGAGGAGATTCAAATCATCATAGAAATGCTGTAAAATTATACTACATGACAAAGGAAAATTAAAAATAAGATGGAAACAGAGAGCTAAAAACTTACCACATCGGGCCAAGCATTGATTGCACATGCTTCTATAGTGTTAAACACACATTCTTGCTCACCATGCTGTAAGAAATACACATACCAAAATGAATTTAGCTATTCAATAACATGTAATCATATTCTTAACCGAAACTACAGAAATCGAAATTACTTAGATAACGATGATGATTATGATTTATGAAATCTATGATGAATTGAAGATGATGATGAAAGGAAAACGATACAAGTAAACGAGATCTGGAATTAGTAAGTGGAAAACCTGGCAAGTGATGTTGCCGTTGGCATTGACTTTAGCGTTACCATAAGGAAAGAGTTTCACATCGGCTATGGCGTCGATTCCTTCAGTAAACACATCGATCAAATAATTAACGATGAAATTCTCGCAGTATGGACAGAGCGATTCGTAGTAGACTGTTACTTGAACTTTCTCCGCTTCTTTTATAGGGAAGATCTCTACAAAATCAGATGATGATGAACAAGTATTGACTGAGAACAAACAGATGATGAAGATGAACAGAAGGCGAGCTTCCATGGTTGAAATTTTGTTGAGCTTCGGTTTCAATGGCTTCAAGAAATAGTCAGGAGAGTGGTGGTTATAAAAGATTCAGGGAATACCGATATTTTGGCTACTTTATACGTTTTACAACTTTAGTCCTTCGTTTTGTAGAATTATTCTTAAAATACCAGTTTATTAAAAAAATAGATTATTATATCACTGATATAAAATATATAGTAAATTATCTATAAAATGTAAGAGTAATACAAAAGGTGTAGGTGCCCAACCGACCTTATCCGTTAGATGAGAACAAAGAGAGTGAAATTCACGAATTATGTAGTAGCAATGGACAATATATAAAGTGTAGGGGGCAATTCCGGTGGATTTATATCTTTCGCTTTAGAGTGCAACGGTTGAGAACGCCAGTAAATGTCAACGTGCGGAGCTTGCGGTTCTTATTTGAACAAATATATCCTTACTCAACCTATCATTTTTTGGTTTAATATTTAAGAAATAAAGATATTTAAATTGCAATACATTTATGTGTTAGATGCAAATAGTATTAATTTATATTTTTGTTTATTTTATATTAGAATTGCTATTTTCATTGTTATAATATTATACTTCTACTTTTTTTCTTTTCCTACATTATATTTTCAAATTTTCTATTAGGCCATTATATTAGGGGTGAGCATTTGGACCGGACCGGACCGGCGCTTGGACCGGACCGGTTATGGAGAATATTGTGGACCAGGGACCGGACCGGATGAGTCGTGTCCATGTCCGTGTCCGGGTCCGGGTCCAGGTCCGGGTTTTGAGGTTCTTGGACCCGTTTGGACCGGTACAACTTTAATTGCATAGAGTACAAGTCGTTAAAATAAGTTTTTAGGTTTGATACGATACAACTTGTAAAAATGATTATGTTTCTGTTTCATGCATAACTAATCTACCTTGATGTTATAATATTATAAGTTGTAAAATTAATTTTCCAAATAAAATCAACTAACATATAAATCAAGTTCACCAAGATCCCTTTCATATGATTTATCTATTAAAGATACATAAAATTCAGAATTATAGTATAAAATGATAGTTAAAAAGTAGAAATATTTCAGCTTTGATAGCTCAACTTTGAAGGATTGTAACTCACTGAATATAATATCACAATCAACAAAATTATAGTCTAAATTTATCTACAAACTGTAAACTAAATGTTTGAAAAAACCTCAGGTCAATCCGACTTAAAACGAATGAGTTATGGTTGTTTAAAAATTTCACAGATTACAAAATTTTAAAAAACTTGCTGAAAAGCTGAAAATTTTCAGCTTTGATAGCTCAACTTTGAAAGACTATAACTCATTGAATATAATACCAAAATCAACAAAATTATAGTCTAAATTCATCTACAAACTGTAAATTAAACGTTGGAAAAAACCGCGTGTCAATCCGACTTAAAATGAATGAGTTATGGTTGTTTAAAAATTTTCACAGATTACAAAATTTTAAAAATGTTGCTGAAAAGCTGAAAATTTTCAGCTTTGATAGCTTAACTTTGAAAGTCTGTAACTCATTGAATACTATACCAAAATCAACAAAACTATAGTCTAAATTCATCTACAAACTGTAAGTTAAACGTTGGAAAAAACCGCGTGTCAATCTGATTTAAAACGAATGAGTTATGGTTGTTTAAAAATTTTCACAGATTACAATTTTTTTTAAATCGGGTCCAACCGGTTCTAAACCCGGTAAAAACCGGACCGGACCGGGAAAAAAATCGGACCGGACCGGGATGGATTCCTAGAACCGAGAACCGGCCCGGGGGTCCAAAAAAACGGTCCGGTCCGGTCCACCGGTCCAAATGCTCACCCCTACATTATATATACCGGTTATAGCAATTAGCAACGTAAATTATTATCTAAATCTCTTTCTTATTAGACTATTAATCTCTTAACCAACAACCTTTTCTTATTAAGTTAGCTTAGCTTTAGTCTAAACTCTATAGAATCAAGAAAAAGAAAGTAATTGCTCTAAAACACCTTTTGTGTTAATATGAATATGTGATCCAGTTTCCAACACCGAAAATGAGTTCATATAAGAGAAAATTACAAAAATAGCCTAAAAAACTAATTACCTTGCAAATTTAGCCAAAAAAATAACAATTACAAAAATAGCCACTGATTTCGCAGATGGGAATGGTCCATCTGCGAATTTACCATTCCATATGCGAATGTACAAGTGCCTAAAGCACAGATGTGCTTTAGCCACTTGTACATTCGCAGATGGGGTTTTTGTTTTTTTTTTTTTTTTTTTTTTTTTGTATATATAAGGATGAATCAGGCTAAAATCGCAGATGGACAGTGTCCATCTGCGATTTCCTCTCCGTTTGATCTGCGATTTTATGGTATTTTTTTCATTTTTTTTTTAAATTTTGACTATTAAATCAATGGGTTTGAATACGAAATAACCTTATTATATATAAACTTTTGTAGAAAATTATCAGTTTACTTGTTATTTCTTTAGGAAATTTCTTAAAAACCTCTCTAAAAAAGATGAATATATGGTTTGTCTTGTAGAAAATTATATATAAACTTTTGTAGAAAATTATCAGTTTACTTGTTATATATAAACTTTTTTTTTCATTTTTTTTATATGTTTTGTTAAGTTAGTGTAAAAAAAAATTGTCTATGATTAATTGTATTTGAATGATTTGTTGTTTTATTTTTTATTGTAGATTGTGTGCGTATAGTTTTGATCCATATGTTTATACAAAATATAGTTTTTAATATAAGTTTAAAATTGAAATATAAGCATAAGTAGAGAAAAAAAAATTCCCTACAAAAAGTATATCGATAGAGTGACTATAAAAACTAAAAAATTAGACAATAATAAATAGAAACCTTGTAGAAAAATAAAATATTTGAAAAAACATATATTTTATATTAAAAACTCAAAATAAATATATTTTTAAGAAATTTCCTAAAGAAATAACAAGTAAACTGATAATTTTCTACAAAAGTTTATATATAATAAGGTTATTTCGTAGTCAAACCCATTGATTTCATAGTCAAAATTTAATAATAATAATAATAATAATAATAATAATAAATGAAAAAAATACCATAATATCGCAGATCAAACGGAGAGGAAATCGCAGATGGACACTGTCCATCTGCGATTTTAGCCTGATTCTTCCTTATATATACACAAAAAAAAAACAAAAACAAAAACCCCATCTGCGAATGTACAAGTGGCTAAAACACGTCTGTGTTTTAGCCACTTGTACATTCGCAGATGGGATGGGCAAATCGCAGTTGGACCATTCTCATCTGCGATTTTGGTGGCTATATTTGCAACTTCAGTTTTTTTTGGCTGTTATCTACAAAGTAATTAGCGTTTTTGGCTAAATTTACAATTTTCTCTTCATATAATCATATAAATGGACAATAAAACTTATACATAATTAGAGAGAAGAAATGGTAATAGAAAAACCAAGGAGATGATGTTATTCAATGTGCATAAAGGTCGGTAGATGCAATCTATGAGCTCATTCATCAATATAACAAGAAAAATAATAATCAAAATCTCACGGACAAGGTTTGTATATGTATGTAGATAGTTGTACCTTCATCCAAGGGTAGAAATACTGTTTTCATATACGACTAATGGCCGATAAAATACACGCTTGCAATGGTGAATGGGAGAGTGAATATACTAAAAAAGCTGATACCGGTAATATAGTTGAAAGTAAAAAACAAATAAATGTAACAAGGTTAACATAAGTCACTTCCACTTCCGACTCATTTCTAATTATCACATTTACTATTATATCCAAAAAGAGTTCTAACACAAGTCCATAAAAACTATTTTTATTTCTGCAACTTCCATTTTTTTTAATCAGCAATTATGACTCATACTTTTTAATCAGCAATTATGACCCATACGGCACATGTGCATGCCTCATTCAACAATAACTTTTCACAATCGTCCCTAGTTGTTTGGATGTTGTTATAGTATTCAAATGCTTATAACATTCTCAATTGTTCTATTTATAACAAATACAAGAAATTAGCTAAAAATAAAAAGTCAAAAAATTTCTATGTATTCAAATGCACATAACATTCTCAATTGTTCATACTCATTCTTCTACCCATGTTAAATACCTACATGTGTTACATTTAATGAAATTAATACATTTAATCCACATAATACCTACATGTGTTACATTTAATGAAATTAATACATTTAATCCACATGTCACCATGTATTTAACATGGATAGATAGAAAGATAGGAAAAAAATGTAAGAGAATATTTAATTTCTCTTTATTTAATATTTGTATTATTCGTAAGCCATATTCAATGCATTACCTAATTGGACAAATTGTGTCTGCAAAGTTGCAAAATTTTAATCCGAACCTAGAATTACTCATTGTAATCCGAACATCTTTTAACTAGGCCCATTTTGCAACAAATCATATTCATCGCTAATAAAACACGGAAACTAAAAATTATAAAAAATAATAATAATAAGAGCGAAGTAGAATTATTTTGGCATATATTACATCAAAACATCATTAAGACAAAAGGGATAAAAGTAGCTATGTTATATGACTTACAACTACAATTATTCAAAAGTTATCATAATTAAAAATCCCATTCAAGTTATAAAGCCTTTGGTTTTCAAACTCTCAACACTGTCCCTGATAATCTGCTCCATAGGAATGAACTCAAGGCCCAACTCCATAAGCTTTTTCGATCCAGTCTTTGATCTCAATAACCCCGGTTGGGTGTCTTTTGAAAACCTTTACAAAAAAATGTGAAAGCATGTTGTTATTTTATGACATTAACCCTATTTTAAAGTTATTATTCTTATAATGATCAGTACCTGGGGATATTATACTGAGGGTATAATTGTGCAACCATGGCTGCAAAATCACCATAATGGGAAATGGCTTCAACACATAAATGCCTTCCAGTTGCTGATTTGTTTTCATACACCAATATATGAGCCAAGGCCACATCTTTTACATGAACAGAACCCATGAAGAAATTCTCATATGTTTCTGTACATCCTGAACAAAACGACCTCATCTTTAATTCAAAATTATATATATAACACAAACACATTACAATGTTTTATGTTTGTCCTATGTTACCTTGGATAAGGCGAAGAATCATCAGCATGCTTGCATTAAGTGTTGGAGGAAGAATGGGACCCATCACTGTTCCAGGGTTGACCACAACTACATCTAATCCTTTCTCCTTAGCAAAATCCCATGCAGCTTTTTCTGCTAGGGTTTTAGAAAGCGGGTACCATAACTGATATGACATGATGACATGGCAAAAAGTTTAATAGAATCAATGAATGTTTTATGATAAAATATAAATGGAAAAAGAAAAGAGTGTGTGACTGACCTGGTTTTGCTTGCAATATTCCTCATCAGCCCAGCAATCCTCAGTCTTTGGGAGATGAGGTGGCCATTTAGGACTGGGTACAATGGCTGAAACAGATGATGTCACAACCACACGTTTCACTCCCACTTCCTTTGCTGCTGTTAGAACATTGATCGTCCCATTGATTGCGGGTCCCAGTATTTCCTTCTATTCAACATAAAAACCAAGTTGGTTGAGTTTGTTCTAAAATTCAACAGCTACTCATTCTTCAACTTGTTCTTTTCACATTCAAATATTACGACCAAGTTTTGCGCATGGCTTTGGCCTTTGGGGAAGTCTACCTTTGAATTCAAATTTTCATTTCTTTTTGGGCAAATGACATAAAAGCCCTCAAGTTTGGCAGCAATATACAAATTTACCCTTTTGCGTATTTTAGATTCATTAAAGCCGGAGGTTTGCAACTTTTTTTTTTTAATTTTACCGTTTTGGAGGTTTACCTGGTAAAGTGGAACATTTATGCCGCCAAACGTAAGGGCTTTAATGAACCAGAAATATGCAAAAGGGTAAAAATAAATATTTTAAGGACCTAATAACATTACTATAATTATTTAAAAGCTATATTAAAATTTTCATAGGCGTAGCTCACTTACAGCGAATTTTAAAGAAAACCGGGCTTTGTTCGGAGCAGCGTTTCGAAACCGAAAGACCCTTTTTTTCTCGGGACTCCGGGAGCCTCGGGGCTTCCTTCGGGTGCTAGGGGTTCACCTAGACTTTAGGGGGGGTTTGGAACTCTAGAGAGAGAAAGATCTTAGAGAGAGAGAGTGAAGAAAGGTGTGAAAAACTCGGAATGGCTCGCATGCTATTTATAGCCTCAGCAGCCTCGGACCACGTTGCGCGTCCAGCAGCTACGCTAGGCGTAGTCTCGGATAGGGTTGCCAGGCGTGTTCCAGCTGGCTCGCACTCGGACAGGACCCGGATAAGACCGAAGGTACGCGGGGCGTACCGGACCTCGTACGCGGGGCGTAATAGCGAGGGCTACGTGGCGTGATCCGAAGCGACTCCTGAACCAACATCGGACGGCCCAGATGCTGCCACGTCATGAAGTTCTTATCAGACTTCGCAATTTCGACTACAAACTTTAAAAATTCGTATCTTTCGCAAACGAGCTCCGTTTTTGACATTCTTTATATCCACGCGAAGGCGGGAACATACTCTACAACTTTAGTTTAGACTCCGTCGGCTAATTTTGACTTTATTTTAAAAGTTATATTTTTAACAGGCCGGGTCAGGATTGGTCCGTTAAAAAAATTCGTAACTTCTTCATCCAACGTCCGTTTTCGTCTGTCTTTTTATCGTTATGCTACTATTAACGAGATCTTCGATTCTCGTTTAGGTTGTGTTGGCTAAAAACCGCTCGATCTTATATTCAAATTTCGGGTTGTACACTGCTAAGCCGAAACTTCGAAAAATCATAACTTCCTCATACGAAGTCAGATTTGGGCGTTCTTTTTATGGACGCTCTCGGTTTAATGTATTCTACGACTTTCGTTTAGATCGCTAAGGATAAAAGTCGCTCTATCGTAAATTTACTATTTACGTCTCCCGGTGCCGTGCCGGTTCTGCCGTAAAACTTCGACGGGTCATAACTTCTTCGTTATAACTCGGATTTCGGCGTTCTTTATATGTACGGAAACCTTGAGACATATTCTAAAGCTTGGTTAAGATTATTTATTCTAAATAATCTTTTGTCGAAAAGTCGTTTTCGACCCCTATTATCTCTAAATTGACTAGCCCGGATCTACGGGCGTTACATTTGTTAAAGCGCATGGTTCACAAGTAGCGGTGGTGTTAGTATATGTAGATGATTTAATCATCACAGGTGACTACAGAGAAGAAGTGTACCAACTGAAAGAGAATCTATGTACACGGTTTCGGATGAAAGATTTGGGGAAGCTAAAACGGTTCTTAGGGCTGGAATTGAGTTATGAAGATAATGGGTTCTTATTGCACCAAAAGAAATACACAGAGGATCTTTTGCAAAGGTTCGGTATGCTTGATGCAAAACCAGCTCATACACCAATGGATCCAAATGTTAGGCTGCATCAGTTTGAAGGATACAAATTGGATGATGCCACAATGTATCGAAAAATGGTGGGAAGCCTAATCTACCTCACGTTGACTCGACCGAACCTAGCGTACTGTGTTGGAGTCTTAAGCCGATTCATGCAGCAACCCAGACGACCACATCTACATGCTATTCGACAAGTCCTTCGATATGTTAAGGGGACAATTGGGTTGGGAGTCAGATTCAAGAGGGAGTCACCGTTCATGCTTTCTGGATACTGTGATGCAGATTATGATGGAGATCTTACCACTCGTCGATCAACAACCGGGTATGTTTTCTTGCTTGGAAGTGGACTGGTGTCATGGTGCAGTAAATTGCAGCTTACAGTGTCATTGTCGACAACTGAGGCTGAGTATCGTTCCGCTGCAATGGCTGCACAAGAGTGCACATGGCTAAAGAGTGTTTTAAGTGATTTGAGACAGAATTGTGGAGATCAGGTGGTGCTAAGATGTGATAATATGCCAGCAATCCAATTAGCAGGTAACCCAGCATTTCATGCTCGTTCGAAACATATTGAAATCCACTACCATTACATTCGAGAGAAAGTGTTAATGGGCGAAATTGATCTGGTACATGTCAATACGGATAATCAAGTGGCAGATATGCTTACAAAAGGGTTGCCAAAACCCAAGCTATTGAGGTTTATCTCACAGGTTGGAATGAAGAATTGTGGCATTGAGAGGGAGTTTGTTGACTAAGCAATGCCACATCATCAACTTGTGACCGTTACAGAGAATTTGCGTGTTTCAAGTTGTTAGTAGTGTCCTAGTTTTATGCTTATGCACGTTGAATAAAGCTGGTAGAATTAGTAGAAGTTAGTTCCTATTTTTCTGGTTTATTTTCAAATAAAAGTCATGTACTTTCCAGTTTTTACAAGTGAAGTGAATGCAACTTTTCATTCCAGTGCTTTACATATCTCTTTCTGTCGTGTTTTCCTAACTGTAGTTCCAATTTTTCATCCTGTGAAAGTTAACACTAGTAATATAGTTAAATGTAAAAAACACAAACAAGGTTAACATAAGTCACTTCGGACTCATTTCGAATTATCACATTTACTATTATATCCAAAAAAAAGTTCTGACACAAGTCCATAAAAACTATTTTTATTTCTGCAACTTTCATCTTTTTTTAATCGGTAATTATGACCAATACAACACATGTAGATGCCTCATTCAACAATAACATTTCACAATGGTCCTAGTTGTTTGGATGTTGTTGTAACACCCAGAATCAGAAAGACCAATAAAGGAAAGAAAGCCCTAAGTCGAAAGAGTCAACTCGTCGAGTCCAAGGAAGAACTCGGCGAGTCGGAGCGGGCTCCGTGTGGAATATTAAGTGACCGACTCGACGAGTCGGCTAGTGGACTCGGCGAGTCTGATCTGGGTCGGTAAACCCTAATTCCGGGACTTGGTACCCTATTTAAGCATCTCATTCTCTTCCCTAGGGTTCATTTGCGGCCCCTATAGTCCAGAACTCAAAACCCTAGCCTCCATTGGTGAGTTTGATTGATTCCTTCTTGATTTTGAGTGTTTTGGTGTATTCTTGGAAGTGTAGAAGAGAAGGAAGGAGTGAAGGTGCAAAGGAGAAGAAGGAGATCCAGAAGCTAGCTTCCATTTGCTACTTCATCTGGTAATAAAGCCTCTACCTTGTTCATTTTCCTAGTAGATCTTCATATATGCTTGTTTTGCCATTTTTGGGACATTTCAAGGTCCAAACTCGAGATTGGAGCTCCTTTAGGGTAGTGAGCTATAGATCTGGACATCATTGAGCCCCGGGAGCTCAAAGTAGCTACCTTTATGCAAAGCAAGGTCTTGTTCCAAACCCTAGGTTCCCATTTCTAGCTTATTTTGGTGTTTTAGCTTCATACCTCTATGCATGCACGTAAAGTTGGCAACTTTATGTGTTATATCGGCCCTAGAAGCTCAGATCTACGAATTGGATGCACTGAAATCGATTAGAATCAACTGTTTAGTGAGGACATGCATAGGAGTCGACGAGTTGTTCTTGGACTCGGCGAGTCGGAGCGCAAATCCTCCCGATTTCTCCGATTTTGGAATTGTGAGTTGAATCAGCGAGTGGAAGAGGACTCAGTGAGTTAGAACAAGGATCTGGAAGCAGAAGGACTCGGCGAGTCGAGTCGCGAGTTAGAGAAGTGTGAGTCCGGGAACTCGGCGAGTTCATAGTAGGACTCGACGAGTAGAGTCAACCAGGAAGTTGACTTTGACCAGGGGTAAAATAGTCATTTTACCCTGAGATTAGTTATTAGTATTTGATTTAGTGTTTATGGGATTTGTAGTCGGGGAGTTCCGGAGCAGCAGTCAAACAGTCTCAGATTTAGCACCTCAGCAGCCAGCGTTACGAGGTGAGTTTCCTTCCAGTAGGAACGGGTCTACGGCCACAATGCCGGCCCGTTTAGTTAGCAGTAGTTCCGGACATCGGTCTGATGCAGTAGTTATGATTATGCTATGCTATGTTCAGTCAGTTCCGGACTTCGGTCCGATGCAGAGGGCAAGGCCCTGGTTAGTTCCGGACTTCGGTCCGATGCAGTTTCCGGACTTTGGTCCGATGCAGAGGGCAAGGCCCTGGTTAGTTCCGGACTTCGGTCCGATGCAGTTTTCGGCCTTCGGTCCGATACAGAGGGCAAGGCCCTGGTTAGTCCCGGACTTCGGTCCGATGCAGTGGGCAAGGCCCAATAGTTGCTTTATATGTTATTGTATGGTATGTGTAGTTTGGGGGAGCTCACTAAGCTTTGTGCTTACAGTTTCAGTGTTTGGTTTCATGTACTTCCGCTAGTAAGGGGAAGAGCTCGGGATGATGGCATGGCACATACCACAGCTTCAGTTTGTCCTGGGAGTTTTATTCGGATAGTTTGATATGTTTTGACATCAGTTGATTTGATAAACTTATTATGACATTTTGAGACGCATGATCCATGGTTTTATCTTTTAATATTTGATATTATGGTTTAGTAAAGTTTTCAACGAAAAATTTTGGGTTGTATTTTTGGGATGTTACAGTTGTTATAGTACATTTGTTGGCTTAAATACAATAAATTAGCTAAAAATAAAACAAGTCAAATGAGTAGAACAAGTCAAAAAAATTCTATGTTTTCAAATGCTCATAACATTCTCGATTGTTCTATTTATAAAATACGGAGTATAATATTTTAGTGAAATTAACAATATTTTAATCCACACGTCACCATTTAACATGAGTAGGTAGAAAGATAGGTAGGAAGAAAATGTATGAGAATATTTAATTTCCTTCTATACTAATAAATGAAAATCTATTTTGTCAAATGTCATGCTCTCATTGATTTTGCTATATGTCATTTTGTGAGTTTTCCAATTAAATTTTTCCATGTCATTTTGTGGTTTTTTTTTTCCATTTTATTAATTCTCATTGTATTTATAGGTCAAGTAGACTTATCTTTCTTGATGTAATAAATGGATTTTAATTTAAAAAATCTATAATTGACTTATTTTCTTTCTAAATTTAAATTTTCCATATTCAATTTCCAATTTAATATAATTAAATTATTAAGTGAAAAGTATTATCTTATTATTGATAGATTTTTAAATTGATTATTACAATATACTTATTTGTTATTTTAAATATTATGTTAAATCCAAAATATAAATCAAATTATTAAATAACTTAAAAATTATATTCAAATACTATCTTTCAAAATAGTTTAAAAGGATTAAATATTGTAAATTAAGAACAAGTTAAATTATATAAAAATTATAGAAAATATTTTTTTATTATAATTCAATTTTTTTTCCAAATAAATGTTTTTAGTCGGTTAATAAAAAAATTTACATTGCATTTATTACAAACAATAGTTATATATCAATTGACCGTCATCATGATCGAAATTAAAAACAAAAATCAATAGATAAGTAATTACTACATTAATCAATTACAACGTTAAATTGTAATACTAAATCAAAAACCATGTTTAATTTTATTTAATTGCAAATCAAGGATGAATGCTATTGAATGATACAAGTATATTACCTGCATATAACAACAATTTTCTTTTATTACTTAATTGAAGTACTTACATATTTATCATTTCAATTGTATTTATTTCAAATTTTTATTTTAAAAATGTTTAATGTTTAGATAATCCTATTGAAAACTATGTTTTATTTTAATCAACCCGTGTAACACACAGACTCACAACTAGTTATTTAATATTTGTAGTATTCCTAAGCAATATTCAATGCATTACCTAAGTGGACAAATTGTGTCTGCAAAGTTGCAAGGTTTTAACCCGAAAAAAGAATTACTCATTATAATCCGAACATCTTTTAACTAGGCCCATTTTGCAACAAATCAGATTCATCGCTACTAAAACACGGAAACAAAAAATTATAAAAAAAAAAGCTATCTCTTTTAATAAATGAAACCTAAAAATGACACGTGTCGGGTTTTTAAAATGTCTCTTTTGACACGTGGTATTTTTCTATGATTTTTATTATTTCCTTTTTATTGTAACAAATCAAATTCAATTCAAATTTTGAAAATACAAAATTTTATCCTAATAACATTATTATTATTTTGCTTAACAAATTAATTCATAATTACCTACAATCGACAATATCTGTTTTTTTTTACATTTATTATTTTTTTATCTATATAAAATTTTTTAATATACCGACCGTGGTTTCCACGGGTTATAACCTAGTAATAATAATAAGAGCGAAGTAGAATTATTTTGGCATATATTACATCAACATCATTAAGACAGAGGATAGAAGTAGCTATGTCATATAACTCACAACTACAAATACATAAAATAAAAAAAAAGTTACCATAATTAAATATCCCATTCAAGATATAAAGCCTTTGGTTTTCAAACTCTCAACACTGTCTCTGATAATCTGCTCCATAGGAATGAATTCAAGACCCAACTCCATAAGCTTTTTCGATCCAGTCTTTGATCTCAGTAACCCCGGTTGGGTGTCTTTCGGCAACCTACACAAAACAGATGATCACAATGACGGATTTACCCCTCAATATAAAGACAAAACAGAACAATTGTGAATTGAGAAAGTACCTGGGGATATTATACTCAGGGTATAATTGCGCAACCATGGCTGCAAAATCACCATAATGGGTTATGGCTTCAACACATACATGTCTTCCAGTAGCCGATTTGTTTTCATACACCAATATATGAGCTAACGCAACATCTTTAACATGAACAGAACCCATGAAGAAATTCTCATATGTTTCCGTGCATCCTAAACAAAACAAACTCATCTTCAATTCAAAAATTATATATATAACTACCTAGGGCTATTTTTTATTATGAGGATGAGGACATTTACGTCGTTTATGATAATGCACGACAAACACATTACAATGTTTTATGTTTGTCCTATGTTACCTTGGATAAGGCGAAGAATCATCAGCATGCTTGCATTAAGTGTTGGAGGAAGAATGGGACCCATCACTGTTCCAGGGTTGACCACAACTACATCTAATCCTTTCTCCTTAGCAAAATCCCATGCAGCTTTTTCTGCTAGGGTTTTAGAAAGCGGGTACCATAACTGATATGACATGATGACATGGCAAAAAGTTTAATAGAATCAATGAATGTTTTATGATAAAATATAAATGGAAAAAGAAAAGAGTGTGTGACTGACCTGGTTTTGCTTGCAATAT